GCCCAAATTTGAAACTTGGAATTTCTTTTATTATCGATATCATATATTTTGTAAAACTTTAACGAATTTTTGATTAACAAACTAAACGATTTAAAAGCGAGCAATGGCAACTCTCTTACGGAGGGGGGGGGGGATTTTTTTATCGCCAGCGCGCGGAACTGTGTATCGGAAATTCTAAAGATAAGCTCATTTTAAAATTATTTTGCGACACTGCCGTTGAACTGAATTTTATGGTTTAAGTGCGAAGAACATGATATTTAATATATAAAAATACAAAATGTTTAAAATTTTAAAATCTGAAACCTTTCGGATTTTTAAAATTTTTTCAAAAATTTTATTTTATTATTATTATTATTATTTGGCCATCAAATAGGCGGACATTTTGCATTGTATATAGGGGCGCACATTCACATCTCTGACTCAAGTGAAAAAAATCGGTAGGCAAGGCTCTGTAAATTATATTTTATTTTAAAACTAATCTCAGAAACTGTTAAACTAAGTACTTTCGTATTGCTATAATGAATTTAAAACTACAAATTATTTTTAAATGCTGCACTACCCATTTTTTGTAACAAATATTTTATTGAAATCTCTCATGGAACAGAAAACATCCTAAAGGGGGGAAAAAATTGCGGAAAGAATACCACCTTTTCAAAAATCAAAATAAAACTGTTTTGTCTAGCATCACATATTTTTTGTTAGAAAATTATTATACTTCAAGGAAAAAGGTTTGATTTCAGAATTATTCCCCTTTCCCGAAATCTTTATGACTTCAAAGACAAATAGAAATTTTGCAATATATGCAAATAATTATATAGTAATTGGAAGATGCTCTCTTTAAGTTAAATTCAGTATACGAAGCATCGATTTTATGCGCTCACTGAGAAAATTAGATCTAGGAAAAGGAAACTTAGGAGGGAATTGTGGATAGACCGGTCCCCTACTTCACGTAGACTTCGGGCTGCTCTCCCCCCCCCCTAGATACAGTTATGGATAAGTTAAGTTCTAAGGGGTGTTGCTTCAGGTCCCCTAGTTGTGACCCGCTCAGACCTTACCTATTTCTATGGCGGCTGAGACGTTCTTTGGCTGAGGGACGCCATGTGTGTGTGTGTGTGTACAGTTTTTGTTTCCGTCCCCTAACACAGAGATGGGAGGAATTCAAGGAGAATGGATTTAAACTCAACTTGGAGAAGGGAGAGATTACCAAGACCTTCAAAATGGCCTTGGTTTGGAGCAAGCCTCTAGAACTCTTCCATGGTTGACCTTGAATAAACCATAGTTACAAACTTTACTTTTCAGCCTAAAGCGAAAGGAATTACAATTTGCAGTAGCATTGATTTCGATGTACATAACATATTTCTCTATCAAATTAATCTTTGTGAGATTTTAAAAATGGTTGTAGAGACACTGACAGAAGTACAAAGTAAAATACTTCAGAGATATTATACGACATTCAGATACGTATATCATACGACATTCAGAGATATACGATGTTCAATTTTACGAATTTACTTTTAGAGATCACTGATCTAGTAAAAGAAATTCTAGACTTCAAGTGCTAAAAATAAGAACGGATAGATCTCTAAGCTTTTTAACTAAAACTAAACTGTTTGGTGCTGTTTACCTAAAGTTAAAAACACGAGAAAAATTAATTTCTTATTGTCAGTTGTTCAGATCCAAATGTTCATAACTTGTCTACTACGGTATAATTACCTTGATTGACCGTTGCATAAAAAGAAGTTGCATGGGTTACAACCAGATACTCTGACTATGAAAAGTGAAACAGCATCATGAAGAGTTAATCGATTTATCTAAGACCATCGTCGTTTCTTTCTGAATATCATTTTGTAAAGTTATAAGATTATTTTGAAGCTGGAGTACATGAAAAATGAGCCGGGACTCGAATCTGGACCTTTTGAATACGAGCCGAGCGTACTAAACGTTACACCACGAAGGCATGCTGAAAGGAGGCTGAAAATACCTTATAATGTTTTCTCTTTACTGTACAGGTGGCAGAGTCAGTAAAATATTCACTTTATACCTGATAGTGAAGATCTTTCCAATAAAAAAAAAAAAAATCAAATAATATAATGTATGATATCAAAGAATTGCAAAATATAATAAAAATTACCGAAAAGTAAATGCTAACTAATGTATGCACATGGAAAAAACATAGCATGTATATACGTTTTACAATTTTTTTTTTTTTTTTTTTAATGGAAAAAATCAGAAACTTCAGTCGTCAGTTAGCCCTTATTTTTATTTCAGCTTTTGAAAAACTTTTGATCACAGATAGAACTTCGTTGTTTGAAAGAATTCACATTCTGCGTTAAAAACCTCAGGCTCAGTACGTCAGGAATTTTCAACACTCACTGGTTTGAAAACGCCTTCCCCCCTTCTCCAAACTGTCTTACTCATCGTCTCCATTCTCGACTTCAATCAAGCGCAGAATGATCTGTTTCTATCAATCAACACGCGTTATTACAATATCATGCATGGTATTTATATGCAATTTTAAGTATCATCCTAGTAGTATGTAATTAATCTCATTAATCCCTATTCTGAAAAACGTCTGACGAAGAAAGTTTTTAACATCTCGTAGAATGTGTTTTTGTTTTCACTACACGACTTCCTCATCCTGACAAAATAGAAACTGCTGCCACTTCACTTGAGGGAAATATTTGTAACAAGCGTCTGCACAAGCGATTTAGTATACGTGTAAGGTGGAGAAGGGAATGTAGGACTAAATTTTGAGTAATTAATAGTTATTTTTTAAACTAAAAGAAAATACAAAAATCTACATACAGAGCTAGTTTATGATGACATATAGATTTTTAAATGCTTAGTTTTTTTGGTTCCATGAATCTTCTATTAAATTTGCATTTTCTGTCTGTATTTTCAATTCCTGTCGATAACGATGAGAATGTTTACCGTTCGATATTATAAAAAGAAATACTCGAATGTATAATTAGTCATTTTATAAACGTTGATGCTTGAGAAATATAACAGAGTTGATGCATTTTCTAGTGTCTCTCTCTCTCTCTCTTTTTTTTTTTTTTTTTTAAAGTAGGTGTCATTTTTTAGTCCAAAAGGGCTTTGTCCCTGTCTTTGCGATTTTGCGTCGAATCACTATATAACCGGCGTATTGCTTTTCAAATTGTTGCCACTAAATGTTAAGAGTCTTACATTATTTGAAGAAATTAAATAATGAAGAATCTGCATAAATGATGCATGTTTCTCGCATTGTAATAAAACAACGGTACCTAGAGCCATCCAATTTTTAATGACGTAATCCTATTGTGAATATTGTAACCTGAAAGCCTAAATTTGAAATTTGGAATTTCTTTTATTATCGATTTCATAATTTGTAAAACTTAACGAATTTTTGAGTAACAAACTCAACGATTTAAAAGCGAGCAATAGCAACACTCTTACGGGGGGGGGGGAATTCTTTTTATCTTCAGCGCGCGGAACTGTGTATCGGAAATTCTAAAGATTTGCTCATTTTAAAACTATTTTGCGATATTGCTCTTGAACTGAATTTTATGGTTTAAATGCGAAGAACGTGATATTTAATAAATAAAGGTACACACAAAACGTTAAAAAAATTGATATAATTACGTTTAAATTACGTCTTTTTTAGACGTAATTTAAAATCCGAAACCTTTCAGATTTTTTTTTTCCCCCTCATTTCATTATACTTTTGGATTCTTTTTCCATACCAGCTTATTCGAATGCTTTAAATGTGTTGTCGTATTAACAGTACAAAAAAAAAAGATTCGACACTTACAAAAGGGGAGGAAGTATTAATGATTCTAATATACTTATAACGATAATTGTAATTAACAGTAACTAAATTCAAGAATTTTTATTCAATCTTTGTAAATGGTACCACTTTTTAGCCCAAAGTAGCTATTATAAGTAATGAAGAATCTGCATAATGTATATATGTTTTTCGCATTTTAAAAAAACAACGGTACTTAGAGCCATCAAATTCTGACTAACGTAGTCCTTTATCCGACTATGGTCAGCTGGAAGCCTGAATCTTTAATTTCGAATATGTTTTATTATGTATTTCATATTTTTAAAACTTTAACGAATTTTTGATTAAGAAACTCAACGTTTTTAAAGCGAGCAGTGGCAACACTGTACGGAATAAAACATCTTTATCTCCAGCGCGACACTGTCTATCGAAAATTCTAATTGCTGTTTTTAAATATTTTTAGCCCAAAGGGGAGTAAGCCTAAATGCTCTCGCAACGTGTATGTTTGTGTAAATAAAAAACACCCCTCTAGGCGTAATACAAAATCTAAATTTAGAATTTTTTTATATTTTTATACCATTATTAGATTTATAAATAATAAAATAATCATAAATATAAACTGACGCGTTAAAATACTGGAATTCTAATGGGTAAAACTTAAAAGGTTCTTATTACAGATTAAAGTAGTGGAATTTATAAAAAATTCTTTCAACCTATTTCTTTTTTTAATTTTTCCACCAATCCCTTAAGTTAAGGATACTCGGATAACCTGCACTTGGCAAATATACTGTGCGATGCCTCAGAAATTGAACAATTTTGTAAACGTAGAATTTAGAAGTGCGGAACTGTGCAATACTTATACTACAGAAAACACTTTTTACATTTTTTAATTAAAAAAATTAACTCTTCTTTACAAAGTTGAACTGTAATCTAGTAAGTTTTCAATATAGCAAATGGACCCCCTCCATTCATGAGCCTTTTCAAAATAATTAATTTCATGGACATTTTTTAAGTTATTAATAATTTGAGACTAATATTTTCTAGGAAAATGATATGTGAAATTACGAATTTGCTATGTAGCATAGAAATATTTCATTTCATACCAAAATTTTTACTTTCTCAGAAGTATTTAAGAAAATTCCATGTATTTTTTTTAAGTAAATTTTAAAAATTTCAAGAAATATAACCACATGAGTCTTTTTTTTTTACAAACATGTAACATGAAACAACCACTTACTGAAGGTGCCATCTTCTTTGTTGAGGAGAAGAAAATACCCAACGTTTCAAGAACAAGACAGATCTCTGTGAAGCTTGGCTTGGGCAAACCCGTCTTATTCTTTCAAGACACACCTCTCCATTCACGTGATTCTGTCATCTAACAGGGGGCGTATATTTCCTGAACCATTTCTACTTAATTTATATAGAATCTTTGAAGTAAGACAACTTTTTGTGAAAAAATATAGTTTTTTAATAACTCTGAAATCAGAAATAATACTTCATAATGTGAAATATTTATTATTTAAATATATAAAAGGAAAGATGATATGTGGGAAAGACTTATCACCCCTCCGAAGGAAATAAACGAATCCAAACTCGCAGTCACATGGTACTACTGACTGAAGTGTGTTCGCAGAGAAGTGAATCGCGAAGAAGGAATAGGAGATGAAAAAGTTTTTTTTTTTCTTTTTAAAATAAACTTATTGATTTGTTTCTGTAGTAAATCAGCATTAATTGAAACTTAGTTAATCATAAATGATTGGAAAGCTGCAGATAAATCTGCTTTCTGTAGATTGATATCGCTTATCAGTAATTTTAAGAGGTGAGTTCAGAGTAACGCAATTTTCTTTTCATGTTGTTTGTTGTTTCGGTTTTTTCAGCAGTTTTAAAATTTTACGCCAAATTTAGGAAATTTTTTTTCACGAAAACTGAACCGAATAATTTTATTTTAGATTTGGAACCAAAAGCTTTATATATACAGAGCGGTGAATTTAATAGTTCATGTTTGAAATTGTTCGTAAATAATATGAGAAGAAATCATTGTTTTTGCTTAAAATGTATATTAATTGTGCTTTAGGGTATTCGTTGTTCTTTTAACAGAATTATTATTTTTAATAACTAATAATAGTCAGTAGTTAGTTAAATATAATGTAAGTTAAATTCTCATTCATTCATGTTTTATAAGCTAATTTTATTCTTATGGCTCTTAACAGCATTACGTATTTTATCTGAGATGAAAAATGTGCGATAAACTGAGTGGCTTTTATTCTCCCCCCCCTAATTATGTAAATTTTTATATACGCTAGAACGGTAAATTTATACGGTTGGAAGTTATAATTTGATAATGACTTCATTATTCTGAGAATATTTAAAAATTAAAAGGCTGATTAGTTAATTATATGCTTCGGCGACTTTATGCGTAGGGAAGCAGGCTTTCAAGGAGGGCATTTTAAGGGAAGCTAGTTCTATTTCTATTATTCATGAGAAAACCTCAAAAACCGATTCTACTAGCCCATTCAATCAGGAACTGAATTACTCCTACTCTGCGGTTTAACCCATTTGCCCAGTTTGTCCTTTTATTATGAGCTCAATTGGTCTTAATTTTTTCACTGCAGGGAATTTTTATTTTAGTTGCAATAAATATATCTTTAAAAAAATGTCTGAAAGGTTCAGATTTTAACGACAAAAGAGTTTGTTAATGTTTTTTATACTCTCGCTGAGTTCGCAATTTACCAGTCTGCTATTATACTTAAACCTTTTTAAACCTTTTTTTTTTTCGGGGGGAGGGAGAGGGAATCTGTTTAACTTTATTATTAAGCATATTTTTCTTTACAATTATGCCATATGCTATTCAACAGCAAAATCGCAAAAATTTTAAAAGTAGCATACGTTTAGAATTTCCTATGCGGTGTTGGGATATATTTTTTTTTCTATTTTTTCACCCTTTTCTCAGTCCATTCAGTTTTTTTATAAGAAAACTATAGTAAGATGGCTTATAAAACTTTATTAAGTAACACATTCTTCGCACTTACATAAAATTCAATTCAACAGCAAAATCACAAAATAATTAAAAATATTAGCATATCTATAGAATTTCCGGTAGAAAGTCTTATGCACTCATGATAAAAATGTTTAATTCCGTACAGTGTTGCCACTGCTTGTTTTCAAATAATTGAGTTTATTAATCAAACGTTATTAATTAAAGTTTTGCAAAATGGAAAATAAATAAATGTATAGCGTCATTGTATGAAAGTATTGAATACTTTTAGCTAATTAGATATGAATTAAACGTATTTGTATTATTTAAGTCAATCCGATTCAAAAGTAAAAAAGAATACTCTAAGAACTGCATCTATTGCTTTCAGATAGCTTAGTTTGTTGATTCACAATGGTCAGCTTCAATTTGAAATATCTTACATTTTGCTGAATGTCAACAGACTCGAATGAAAAGTGAAACGACGCATTTACAGTGATTCAACACAAAAGCTCGTTTTGAGACTAATAGCCATTTTGGGCTAAAAATTTGATTAGGACTAAATCTTAATAACATGAAACAATGTTCTCAGAAATTTTAATGCCGTAGAGCCTTTGACGTGTATTTTAATGGAAATTGAAAAACTCAAGAATATGAGTTTTGGATACAGAGTAGTAAAAACACCCTGCCCCATACATATCTGATGGCTTTCATGATTAACATTAATATTAATCTAGACTGTACCGTGTATCATTTATATAAGAGAATATCGAATATTTTGCAACCAGAAGACTCCTTTCACACAATAAATTTAAAACTGGGGGGGGGGGAATATTGTTTTTCCACTCATCCATAGAAGAAAGTCTTTTATTAATTGCATTTAATCTGTAATTATGCACTGAATCATCGATTTTCGAGTCAGAAATTCAAAACCAAATGAGTTGCGCGTTGCTACTTCCCGTTTCCTATGTCCATTTCCCATTATAATTGGACATTGCATGCTGACCAATGTACCGCATTCAGTCGAAATAAAAACACGGACAAAGAGAAATTCTTCTTTCCTCTCCTTCCCTTCCACAATGTGACAGAGTGTGTGAATTGTGCATTTTCCTGTCACAGCCACAAGGAAAGGGAATATTCATTGTCAAATAACGATTTTAGCCCAATTTATTATTATTTTTTAGTGTGCTAAAGCAATGCCGTCGTCTCACCGCATGAGCGGAATGCCTATAAACTAAAAACCGGAAAAAAAAAAAAAAAAAAAAAAAAAAAAAAAAAAAAAAAAAAAAAAGAGTTTTCCAATTCATTCAAATAGGTACAGTGGAACAAGTAAAATTTCACTATTGGTCACTTAGACATAATCCTAATGCACTAAACTGTGCAGTTTCACTCCCCCGTTTCGATGCAGAACACTCGGGTTACGGATCCGACTATCTCTCACGCCTCGTTTCCTACCACCAAACCATTCGAAATAACTTTCGGCTTACGGATACTTTGAAGTGCCTTCATGCCGCACAGACACTTTACACTTACAAATATCCGTGCCTTCCCCATTAGCGTAATGTCAGACAGCACATTAAATTCATCAATGTTAAACGAACTTCGCTTACTGCGCATGCTCAGAGTGGTGTACCGTTGGAGGTGAAAGAAATTTGTTCGTCAAGTCTATCGCTGTCGAGTGATGTTAACAATCACAATATTGTGGAAATTTGTGTAAAGCTTTAACGTCAACGCTGATTTACTTGCTTACTTATTTAGTGCTTGTATAATTTTATTTTAGGTTAATTTGTCTATAAACATGACATTTAATATTTGTTAACATATCTTAAATGTAATAATTATTTTGACTTAAATTGTTAACATGTTATAATTCAGTAATTTAAACTGTGTTTTGTTCGCTTGGTTTTTTAACATTATAACTATCAACTTATTATAACAACTAACTAATTAACATTATTAACTCCTTTTTTCTATTTTCTAATTTCAAAGAATTAATTAAACAGCGTTAAGAAACTGGTTAATTCTTCGATGTTACTAACAAACACTTGCTATATACCGCCCATACGGTAAATTCAAAAACGAAGCTGACTGCCGTACCAGAAGGCCCGGGTTCAAATCCCGGAGAAGGCACGAATACAGTGGAACCTCGAGATACGAGTTTAACTCGTTCCAGCATTGAACTCGTATAGCGAATTTCTCGTATCTAGAAATAACTTCTCCACTGAAAATAATGAAAATCTAGTTAATCCATTCCGCACCTCCAAAAATCTCATTACCATCTCATGTTCAGTCGACGTACCTGGTGTTTTTCGTAGAAAGTTTAAGTACAGATTCTTAGCCTTAGCGCAAATGATAGCTTCCGACATCGAATCGTCTTTAAACTGCTTCTCGTTAATCCACACCAACAACAGCTTCTCGTCATCTTCTAAGAGTTTTTCACGGTGCTTGGAAATAACGGTAAATCCTTTGGTCACATCAAGTTTCTTAATTTCTTCCTTTTTCTTCAGAATACTGCAGATCGTAAATATCGAGAAAACGGCAGTAAGTCTTTGCCGATTCCATCACTCTTACTTATGTTTATCTATGATTTCTTTCTTAATTTCAACGACCATGGCTTCCCTTTTTTTCTTTGCAGCACTATCTGAGGCAACAATCTTCTTGGGAGGCATCGTGAAATAATTATTTTCAAGTTAAATGTAAAAAACAATTAACTCACAAGCGCACAAAACACGTAGATCAAAGAACATCGAGTGATCTGACGAGGGGATTCCCCGAGTCGAGCCGGACCTGGGAAACGCGTCACCCATACCAACAACCTGGCTCGTTGCTCGTTACTCGAGTCAATGCTCGTATTCAGACACGAAATTTTCGCTCATATTTTCCTCATATCTCGAATTACTCGTATATAGAGGTGCTCGTATCTCGAGACTCAACTGTACTTATAAATGTATAGTGTCTGTACGGCATGGGAGCACTGAAAATATGTGGTGAGCAGAAAGCTTTCTCGAGAGATTGGTGATAGTGGAAGAAGGTGGAAAACCCTCGGATCCGCCCCCCCCCCGGTGTCCTCTCTTTCAAAACTGAGGGCGGAACTGAGCATAGTTGGATTGTCACCTGTATGGTGCTCAAAGCTAAAGGCTGGCCAACGACAGACGCAATCTTGTAGTACTCCTTGACACCATAATAATTTGTGGGCTTGTTCCGATTACATCAGACAAGTGAGATTAGTAAACGCAACAGCTTGCTACATTCGTCAGCGTTATATATATATGAATGGAACGCATCGTAAATACTAAATTGCTTTTACTTCTTAGAAGTAAAATCTATAAAATTTTAACGAATATATCCTATTTTGTAATCGTTTTTTCAATGATTTCCGCATTACTTAAGATACATTTTTTTCACCGGAATGTCTTAGCAATTTCTGGTAAAATCAGAAATTTCGGTTCATTATTATTTTTACTATTATTAACATTCTGTGCTTTGGGGGTTTATATTGTTACGAATTTTGTATACAGATAGATGATTTTAGTGCCGTTGTATGTGAAATTGTATTTTTTGTGTGTAATGTAACATGAAAAATTTGCTTTCCGGAAATGTAAGAATAAAGGGCAGTCTATTAACATTGAGTAAATGGCTATCTTGCTAAATACCGCCAAGCTGGCTGCGGTTTTAGCGACTATTTTTGTCGCGAAATTTGGCGAGCTATAGCCAGAACTCGCCAAGCCTGGCGGCATTTTGGCCCGGCCCCTGTATCACCATAATAGGTATTGTAATTGAATAAATATAATTGACCCCTATATTAGCTGTAACCGTAATTCGGCTGTCATATGCCTTCCAGGAATAAAAGCAGAAAGTACTAGAAATATCTCGGCGGCTGGGTGAATACTATATAAGACCGAAGTTTTTTTTTTGTTTGTTTGTTTTTTTGTTTTGCAGCTGAGGATGGTGGTTCGGTAAAACCATCGAAACTAGTCCTGTGAAAATTTTGTAAATATAACGCTGATTTTTGTTGTTTGACTTCTGAATTAGTATTTGTTCGGCGTGTTATTGTGTCTTAATTATTTCGGAAACTATTTATAAAAATGTCTAGATTTATGATGGGCAGACCTAGGCAGTCATGTAATTGTGTATTAAGGATTGCTTTTTACATAATTGAAATTATTTGAACTAATGTGGAGAGACTTTATTTTAAAAGTTGAAAGTTCTGGTTATATTAATCTTAGTTCTTCGTTTATCACGGTAAGAGAGAAGAAGAATGCTGCTACATGCGGTCAAGTCGTAAATTTACAACCTCTTTTTATAAGGAGGAAGCTGAAAAGGAGGTGTCAATCCTGTTCGGGATCGTGAGAAAATGTTGGGTTCGTTTAAACATCTAACAACAGACACGAGGAGAAATGGTGTAACACCAGGATGCCTGGGTTAAAGAACCCTAGCCCTTGTAGAACAGCTAAGTGATTACGAATTATGCCAAAAAATAACCTAAGCATAAATCGAACAAATGTGAGAAACAAATTCAGAAATCTCACTTTCAAATTAACCAGTGATTGTCATGTCCATGATCATACTAATCCATGATAATGAAGCCTACTAAGTACAGAAATAATCCATAGCGTCATATCTGAGCAACTGCAAATTTAATCCTCATCTACTATTTTTAGCATTGCTAAAGCTGCCTGGGATCCAACTATCATCTTCTCAGCTGTAGTTTTGGCTGTCCTAATCTTCTCGATATGTGCGATAACTGTGCTAAGGAAACCCCTGATTTTTGAATCTTGCAATCAGTTGATTGCAGCGGTCATCTCTTCAAGTGGCGACTGTAAACTTCCTTTAGCTCTGGAGCTATAGATCGGTCTTGTTTCAGTCACTTTAACATCGGGGTTTGCAAGTTGCGGGAAGTCATCAGGGGTGGGAAGTTTCATCTGCTGCTTCTGCGGGTTATGCTTCCGAGTGGGCTGTTTTTTCTCTACGAATTCACATGTGATTCCCTACAAAACAGGCAGGTAGGCTTATCTTCTTTTAGCGTACTTCTTTTAGCGTTTATACAGAGAAAAATACAAACTGAATTCTTCGAATGAATGCAATTTTGTACTATGAAAATGTATTATTGAACGATAAACTGTAAGGTAAATAACATCTCTTTTTAAAGCCATATGTGTTATTTTTGGGGGGGGGTATCTGTTTCGGGGGAGAAAAGCTGGGTTAGTTTTTCACAATGGTACAAAGGTGGCTATTTTTCGTTTTCGCCGATTTGTTATTTGGGACCGAAAGTTTGCAACATAAATTGCTCTTTTTTGAAGTATAAGGCGCACAGCTTTCCTTAACTGGCAATTACAGATGGGAAGCGAAGTTTCCCTCTTCGGAAGATAAAAGGGTTCGATTTTCTCCTCACGCGTTTGGTGACTCATTTTGCTGGAGTCCAGAGGTCAAGTATTGTGAACGGCAGTTCCCCCCCCCCAACTGGTTTGGGGGGAAATAAGAAAAAAAAAAAAAAAGATTCATTTGGTATTGGTCATAATTATATTTATCTCCATTATTTTATCTCTATATTATAATATTGGTGAGCGTTGAAAGCTAGTTTTCCCTAGAAGCAGTAGAAATCAGATTTGGTTTGGTTTTCGAAAGCTTAAGATATATATTTAAAAAAAAGAGGAAGCGAAGTTGCCCAATGTAGGTTTGCTGTCTGGCAGGACGTCACAAACTCTGTCTAAACATTGCCTAAACTCGAACCTTCCATCCTTATGATCGAACTTCATCATCCCATGGCAGGGCTTAATTTCTAAGATTTGAAGTGCCGGAGCCCTATGGAAGACCGTCAACAAAGAGGAACAAGAGTAAATAAAGAAATATAATGACTGTTAAACTCATTAATAATTTTAAAATTAAATATTAATAATTATTAAATTAATTAATAGCTATTTAATTAATGTTTATAAATTGTTATGTAATCAATAATTATTATATTATTAATTTTTTATTTATTGAAATAATTGAAGATTGTAAGTTGAACTGTAAGACTGAAGTAATTAAATAATTAAAAATTAAATAAAATGTAAAGAGCTAAATTAAAATAAGCGATTTTTAATATAATTTTATTCTTAAAATAAAATTTTTTAGATAAAATTTCGACTGAAATTGTTATTCAATTACATAAAAGAAATGCCGCTGCCTTTTTATTTAGTGCCCCGGCTAGAATTATGATTTATTTTGTTACAAAAACTAAGAAGCACCGCAGCAATTTAAGCTTTGATCGTAAGGGGGAGTTCTTTTATCATCAAAAAAATTAAATATACTTAAAGTATAGCTGATGAAAATTCCACGGCGAAACAGAATGAGGTATGAGTGCGTGGAAACAAAAAATGAGGGGAATCTTGGTGAGAGAGAACGTTCTCTTTGACCGCGGCTGTCTGCTGATATAATATAATTAGGGATAAAATGAGTCCTGAATCTAAGGATGAATGTAAAGTTGCTGGTTACGCTTCCCTCCCATTAGTGGATACTGTGGGAAGACGCTGTATAGGATCTTTCCCAGCAGTTTATCTCAATATTTTACTCTTATTGTGCTCGATGTCAGTTAACGCAAATTTAAGAACACAAATTTTCCTTCCTGCGAGAATAATTAACTGTAAGCATAGATAACAATACACTAGATACGATGGCATGGCGAGACATTTACGCGTTCCTAAACAAACTCTTGTTGTTGCCCTTCTTAAAGGGAAAGGTTTTCGCTTGTGAGTGAGGGGACTTTACTTGAACGTCTCATATTCTCACGAGTTCGTATTTCGAGGAAAATAGAGTATTGCAAGGTCTGCTTATTGTTAAACTAAAACGTTAGGAATTCTAAATTTTTTCGCTTTAAATTTTGGTTCAGTTTTATAAAAAGAAGTACCGGAGCTCACCTTACTTAGGGCTCCGGTGCGCTCCGGCTAGAATTGTAATTTATCTTAATCTGAGAAGTACCGAAGCCGGGTTCAGGCGCAATTTTAGGGCATAATAAAATACACTTTCTTACACCATATTTCAACTTCTTTATAGATCTTATATATGGTCATGTCATTCTGTGATCATATAATTTATGCCTCATTTAGAAAATTTTAAAAAAAATGCCAATTAAATCGCAACACAGCGAGCCTCTGACCTCACTCCGATGGATTTCTGGTTCTGGAGTTATCTAAAATCTAAGGTGTCGCATCAAATCCACAAGATTTGTCAGAATTGAAAGCTGCCATAACAGATTCTTCCTTCGACGTTACGTTCGACTTTGTTGTCAACAATCTTCCGCATGCAATGCTGTTATCGTTTGCGAAGGTTTTTTTTTTTTTTTTTTTTTTCTCTCTCTCTCGCCCCTCGTGTGTTGCCATTGATCCTTTACAATGCTGTTCTTTGCAAATGTACGTAATCGTTCCAACATCGTAAGGTTTTTCAATGCGCAGGAAAAAAGTGGGTGCTGCCATTCGAAAATTTCGAAATTTTTTCACTGTAACTACAAGAGTGAGAGTTCTATTGTTTTAAATCATCAGTCTCCAGCGCATATCTCTCCAAGTAATAACACCTAAAATTTCATTTCAACTGGATACGCCGCGAAAGGTTTATATATCTGGGACGCTTTTTTATGACCACACTGTATATAAGCGTACGTAATTTTTGTAAGTAAGTTATTAATTTATATCTAATTTTTGTGATCATATGTCATCACTGAATATGTGTGGTGTATTATATACAAAATTTTGATGAAAACTGATTTTAATTTCCAGATTTCTGTGTTCTTTTATTTACACTGTATTTTAAATAACTACTGTTATTACACGTAATACTTGATTTCTACGGCCCCCGCAATAAAATGCTAAATTATGTAAAAAAAGTACTTTCACTTTTGACTTCTATTTGCTATCACGAACCATGTAATATCATAATATCATCTAAGTGATTCTTGTTAAAGAGGTTTCGCAAATTTGTAATGCTGAAAAGCTGTTAAGATATTTCTTTGCTTTTTCTGCTACAAATTTATAAAATTATATAGTTATCTCTAGTTATCAATTATTACATTAATTTATGTGTAAAATATGCACGAGTACTGCATTTCTTGATATAATCTGATTAGCGGCTTAGTAACTTTGAAAACTGTCAATGAATCGTAGCTGTTAGAGTGTAGGAAAAAAGTCAAAATTATCTGATTTAGAAAAATTACTTTTAATCCTTATTTTTTGATAATCTGGATTATCAACAGAGATAATCCGGAGCTCAGTGTGCATCCGCTTTTTATTAAAATATTTAGTATGCTGTAAGCAAAGAATTGTTTGCTCTTTTAATGCCTGATAATAACTTCTTGTGATATAAAATATATTTCCAATTTACCCTGTAGAATATGAAATAGGTCTCAACAACTGCAATAAATTCACATTTTTCTCTAGAATACATTCTTAACTATTTATCACACCCATACATAAATTCAATGCTATTGTGCAGACTAGTAAGAATATATTTCAAGTTTTCAAGAACGTTTGAGTACATCTGCATGAGACATAAAACTCGACTAAGAATTTAAAAATACATACTAGATATTCTCAGAATATGACAGATGTATTCATTTTTGGAAGTAAAGATAAGATAAGATAAATGATCTGAGTGCTATAATCCTAAAATTATCTTTATAGATGTGAACTAACATAATTTTATAGCATTTATTTGCGAGTTTTAACGTCGCAGCTGCGAACTGTATTTATAAAATAATCATCTTATGAAGAACTTAAGCTTTACAGGTAATACCTTAACGTAATCATACATAATGTAAATTTGGAAATTTTTAGATGTTTTTGCAGAGCTCAGAGATTCTGTAAACTTCTCTGAACATTGAAAGAAGTTTACAACTCAATAACGAGTTGAGTTATTGCGAGTCTCCCCCCCCCCTATTTCTTAGTTAATCGATGTCAGTTGCACTTCTGTTTGACCAGCTAAATCAAATAAATGCGTACTTGTGACGTATTTTTGCGTATTTTGAATGTATTTTTGAAAGAACGACCTATTTATTAATTGCACAGCTGGCTTTATTGTCAGACGACATTAATTCTTCTTCAACATGTTTTAACTGAGCGTATTAAATATACCATTCAAAATGCAGTTATATGTGGAATTAGATTTAGCAGATTTCGCGTAAAACTTCAGCCAGAAATTCTCAAATTTAACACGAAAAATTTCGTGACGGGAATATGGCTTTGTTGTGGGCATGGCATTGAAATAAATCCAGTTTTATTGAATTTTTTTATATATCTGAATCTTTAATTATCTGTTTCTTCCCTTTATCAGTTCACTATTCTGAGAATTACTGTGATTTATGTAAATTATGATACAAACAATTAATTATTTAAGTTATTAATAATTAATTATTTAAAATAATTATTAATCATGTAAATGTAAATTCTGTAATTATTTAAAATATGCATAATCAGCAGAAAGGAAATTTGTTGAAGTTTGATTTAAGTGATTTGTACTGAATCGTGCATTACAAAAGCCATCAAAAATATCTTTATGCGTTATTTATTTATTAAAAAACTTAACATCTGAAGAATAACATTTAAATTATTCTTCTTCAGGTGATTTTTACTATGCTCGTTATCAGATAGTGCGAAAAATTTGTCACAGTTAAAAAATAATATCAAATAATTTGATAAACAGCTATGTAATGATGTATCAAAAGTTCTGTAATCTAAAACTGAAGGTATTTCCTTCAAAATAGTCATTTATTGCAGCAACGTCCGGTTACAGCGCTCGTACACCATGTCATCTTCAGAAGGAAGAAATCGATAGGAGCAAAATCTAATGAGCAGATCCCCCCCCCCGTTTCCTATTTCACTTGCCATACGGGCAAACAGGAAATTGAGGCCCACATTCAGTGGTGTTTCATTAAACCTGTTCGCTGCCTAAATGAGTGGTAAAATTAGCCACTAAGTAGTTGTAAATTGTCTAATTAAATATTGCAGTTAAATTCCAACAGCAAGTTCGTCAGACTAAAAGTATTTTGGATGGTAGTTCTTCCGAACTAGTGTTCACCGGCTTAATCTCGCCACTAATCTCATTTCTATATCTGCTAGTATTCGTGTTTCCTCTAAAACGCTCGTATTAATCAGTGTAACTATCGGATAAGATATCGGTAATTCTGCTTTCGCTTAAAGCGACCTTTTCAAGGTTGTTAGCATAGTGATAGCATTTCCTAATCTTGAATGCTACAATTTCAGCTTAGAAATAATAAATTTATTAGCACAAAGGGCATTAGCCCAGAAAAGCTATTAATTTCGTTTTGGTATTTTGCGTTGGTTCACTATAAAAGGCTGTAAAGACATTAGGTTTTAACTGGAAGCATGAAAGATGAAAAATGAGCAAACGCCTTCGCCGGGAATCGAACCATGGACCTCTGGAGGTAACTACACTACTTTGTAAGGTGTTTCACTTTTCAAATTGTTGCCACCAAATATTAGAGTCTTGCCTTATATTTAAAGAAAATAAATAATAAAGAATCTGCATGAATGTTTGTTATGTTTATCGCACTGTGAAGAAACAACGACACCTAGAGACATCAAATTTTGAATAACATAGTCCTCCGCTCAAATATAGGCATCTGAAAAACCGAATTTGGAATTTGTTTTATTATCTGTTTCATATTTTGTAAAATTTTCGAATTTTTGATTAACAAATTCAACGAGTTAAAAGCGAGCAATGAAAGTTTTTTTTTTTTGGGGGGGAGGGGTCTCCAGCACGCGAAACTATGTTTCAGAAATTCTAAACATATGTTCTTTTTAAATTATTTTGTGATATTGCTGTTGAATTAAATTTTACGGTTTAAACGCGAAGAATATATGATATTTAATAAATGAAAGTAACACGTAAAACGTTAAAAAACGCACATTTGTGTGTAACATATATTATTATTATTACTGTTGTTGTTGTTGTTGTTAAATTTTTATTATTTCCCTCCCCTAGTTTGAATCGGCACTTATTTGATTTCGAAATCTAAATGGCGTACCTGCAAAAATCAGTAATGAATATATTTGGATCTGTACGAGAACCAATAAGAACTCACAGCACCATTAGGAAATGTTATCGAAACTACGTAAGTTACAGAAGGTAAGTAAAAATCTCTAACATACTACAAAAGAAACCATTGTCTATGTATATATACCAAGGGTGGCCAATTTCTGTGGATATATATATATGCACAGAGAGACTTAAAAAAAAGAGAGAGAGAGAGAGGAAAGTGTGTCGCGATACACCTTTTAAAATACTGACAAACTTAACACATTAGAACTTGTGTCTTGTGTATATAAACGTAACTAAGAGAGGGTATTAAACCAACTCGTCATTTAATTAAAAATATTTATTAATTAAAAATCAGCCAAAGATCAGTTAATAAATTAAAAATCAGCCAAAGATCAGTTAATATTTATTAATTAAAAATCAGCCAAAGAAAAATACAGATTAAATTTTATTTTATTATCTTATTACTAGTGGCAAGTCTGCGTTTGCTTGTTCCCAACCAAGCGTTCATAATTTGGTATGTATCTAAAGGTAAATGATATTGAATCATCAGTATGGAAATCAGTAAATAGGGAATGATGTTAAGTCTTCGTGAACTTATGAAAAAGCAGATTCACATATAAGTACGTAGATCCAAAATAAGAGTAGATATGTTGGTTACATTTGGTGATACTGGGATAATTTAGTTAATCGACGTATTTTCAAAAGCATGTCTAAAAGTTCTCTAGTTAAGTAATGTTAGATCTGTTTGAAGTATTAGTTATAATTTCATTTTCTAATGCGGTCTCTCCCACTCAAATATTATTTTTTACTGCAATATATTTTCCATTCAAATCTTTTTTCTTCAAAGAAAAAGATCCTGCACCATAACTTTTCCAAAATTATGAAATCGTATTTAAAAACTCTTCAATCACCTTTTTAATATATGCAATGTATTTTAATTTTATTTTATTTCTGCTATGCAACTAGAAAGCCCGGCGGTCATACGAAATGACCGGTGTTCTAGATATTATAAATTAATTATAAACAGATGATTGCTTATGCAAGCAAATGTTCACGTTCCCCCTGACACGCTCAATTTGCGTTCAGTTGTAAACCATTTCAAAAACAGATGATTGCTAATGCAAACAAATGTTCACGCTCCCCCTGACACGCTCAATTTGCGTTCAGCTGAAAATTCAGTTTAAAATACAATGTCGGAATAAAATCGGGTAAAATTTTAAACTCTTTACGCGAAAGGATATTTAGCATAGGAGTTTAGGTAAACCTACCTGATGAGATGTACTACGCACATCTCGTTAGTTGGTTTCGTCTCCTTTAATTTCTCAACGTTTGCAAGTTTCTAGGTAATTCATATGTAAATACAGTTAAATGCATAATAAGCAAAAATTGTATGAATTAAAAATATTTAAATGTTCTTAAATACCATGATAATTTAATTAAAACAATGATAACTGCATGTATGGTATCAGTGTATATGGACTATTTGAATGCCGTGGCAACTTCACCCCATTGGTTAGTACAGTTACGCAAGCAACCAATAAACTATCGGCGACAAACAGACACTTAAGCCGCATAATAAAGATTTTGTTGTTTTTGTAAGTGATCATCACAATAAATTTTGTTTTTTATGTATTAATGTTACTTATCATTTCAGTTACTGTCTTGTTGTTTCTTTGTTATTTTCTTGCAATTTTTAATTTAAATCACCGAATTTCGATGTGAAATTTGTAAGAGATGCTAAATCGCTGAGCCAAATTTCATTATTTAAATTTGCACATTCTTGATCTTGCCCTTTGAGAAACATTTTTATCTTATGTTAATAAATCAGGAGATTGTTGCAGAAGTTTACTTTTACGTAGCCACTTTACATTGGTATCTGTCTGTTAATAATTCTGGGTATTCTTCATCAAGCTGCAATTAAAAGAGACGCCGTTTGAGGGAACTTCCTTGAATGGAATTAACAGTTTTGAACGCTATGTCAATTATTTCTTTTGTATTTAATCTTTTGCTTGCTAAAACTTCATAAATTTACAGTGGTAGCTCAAAAAACTTAAGAATTCGTCGTTTAGCCATAGCGTTATACATTCATTTATGCAAACAAGTTATTGAAACTAATTTAAAAAAATGATCGTTTCAAATTAGTGGGGATGTTGAAATATCTACACCTCTAGTCCTTTCTTTCAAAGAAATCATACGTAAGAACGTTTTCTCCGTGTGTCCTGGGAATACAAGTCAGTTTCCATTAGAATGTCCTTCACGAAGGCATCCCCCCTCTTAAACAGATAGCCATCGTATGTTTTGCCGTATTCAAATGACCTAATCTCAATGATTCCTCCGAATCAATAGATCCCTTCCTTTTTTAAACTCCTACTATTAGCTCACACTCTCCCTATATCTTGTTCAAATTTTCAATCGCTAATAAAATACTTTTCATTCTTCTACTCAAATTCAAAATACATTTTTTTAAACTTGCAGTGGATAACACTTGATGTTAACACAGTTTTTTCACATATTCAAAATTAAAAAAAAAAGTTTTTGTATTTTTATTTATTTATTTATTTTGGTATTTTTAAAATCTTTCTTCGCCGACCTAAGGAGGAATTGACTTTAAAAATATTTTTATTTACTTTTAATTAATTTTCAATCGTTAATAAAATACTTTTTATTCATCCACTTGATTTTAATACAGTTTTTTGACATATTAAAAATTTTTTATTTAAAAATTTTTTTTGTATCTTTAAAATTGTTCTTTGATGACCTAAGTAGTAATTGACTTTAATTTTTTTTTTTTTTTATATATATATATTACACGTTTTGCTTTATATAACACTGAAATATCTGAAAATTTACTCTCAAAGAAGAGCCACTTGATAAGTTTGAAAAGTATACAAACAATGAATGTAGCAGTGACAAATACTGGTTCCGAAAATCTTGCTGCTTTAATTCAGCCATCTGAAAATAAAATTATTTAATTGCTTCATGATGATTATGTAACAGCAGATTGTGTAGAACCTTTCTGAATTCTATGAAATACATTTTAATATTTCAAATGCGATACACCAGAGTTGCGAAACGCTTTGTGTTAGAGGTGTGTGTGATTATGGCAAAGCCTCGAGGGCTATCTGCTTAAGGGAGGGATGCCTTCGTGGAGGACTTTCTAAGGGAAACTGGCTCGTATACCCGTTACACATGGGGAAAACCACGAAAACGCCCATGCAGCCAGCCCGTTCGCGGGATTCAAACCTCGGATCGAACTACCAGTGTTCAGCGACTTTACCGCTCGGCCGCTGGTCGGCCTTTGTGTTAGAGGAAAATACCATAATAAGGTATAGTTTAAATATCTACAAATAAATGTTATTAACTAAAATTGATGATGTCAGATTATTCATAAAAATGTAATGAATGAAGGTTAGTAATATTTTTCTAATCTCTCTCTCTTTTTTTTGTCCCCCCCCTTCTCTCGAGCTGTAAAAGGTTAAATCATCAGTTGAACTTCTACAGGGAATTCAACTAAGTAATACTAGTTTTTTTTTTTTTTTTTAATTAAAAGAAAAATTCCCAGTACCCAACAAAGTATCACACGGGGCTTACAAAATGTAAATAAGGAAAACTTTAAATAATAAGAATAAATGAATCAAAATAATGCGAATAAATGAAACGAATATGATTTTAAAATAAAACAAAAAGTAATATAAAAAAAAATCATTTACAGTATTTAAAATAAGAGGCAACAAAGTCATTAAAAGCAAGATAGGCAGAGAAACAAATCCATGACATTTTAGTGGCCAATTAGTTTCAATGAATTTCTTGCGTAATTAAGCAACTTGCAATCAAAAAAATAAGTGGAAGACACTTTGTTGAACGCCAAAATCACAATAGCACAAAATGTAAGACGTCATCTTAAACCGTTCGAGATATACATTAAACTTTCCATGCCCAGACAAAAATTGCGAAACGTTAAATTGAGCGATAAGCCCTTATTTTTCAGTCTTTCAAAGATAGTTGGAAAGTACTTTTTTGTAATATCTCTCTTATCAGAAGTGACATAATCATGATTCCATTGTTCAATCATCTCAGCTTAGAATATTTTCTTAAAGTATTATTTTGGAATATTTATATGAACTTGCATGCCGCCCCAAAAACAACCCATGCCGCCCAGCCGGTATAGTGGTTAGTGACCCTAACTGCCCTAGCGATGGGCCCGGGCTCGAAACCCGGAGAAGGCATGGTTGTAACTATCCGTTCCTTTATAGAAAGCACTGGCTGCCACCCTTTATGAAGGATTGGATAAAACTGAACAAAAAACTGGCTTAGGTTCGTCTCTATTTGAATATTTTAAATGCCAGTTCATGCCATGTGAAGTTTTTTTCCACAAACCTCTCTATAGATGAGCAAATAGATGAGCTTATTTTGGTGGATATTTATGCATGGAGGAAATCTCTCTCGTTTCGAATACGACGCTTGGTGTTTTTTCCTGTGTGTGTTTGTGTATCGAGTACTTATATCGTTTTGATATATATCTGATCGTGAAAATCTTCAGACATTCACTGATCTTTGACTAGGTGGAGATGTTGTAACAGATCTTTTAAGTGTTGTGGAAGTTTCTTCAAATCATTACGTATATTTCAACAACTTTTTTTCGTTAAACAAGTTGTCGGAATTGAACGAGCTGGAAAATGCGGCTGGGACAATTCTTGAGTGTAGATTAGGAAAAAGTCCTAATATACCTGTAAACAAAATTAAAAAAAAAAAAAAAAAAAAAAAGAAAGAAAGAAAGAAAGAAAGAAAGAACTTGGAGCATATGATACGGCATTTAATAAAGAACATGGCGTCGGAGTAATTCGATGGAACGACAATTCCGCCATAGCTATAAAAACTAACTTTGATACAATTTATTCGCTTTCAGTGACCAAGAGGTGCACAAGAAAAGAAAATAATCTGTGTCCATAAAGTAATCTAAATCCCTTGGAAATTAAAAAAAAAATATATGGCAATAAGATTGTCCAGATGGCATGGACCATCTGGACAATCTTATTGCCGTGTATACGGAGCGCAAGTAAAAAGCATGAAATGGTTGGTGGCTACCTATTTTTACAATTTTATTTATGTAGCTAAATCAAGTGCATAGAAACTTTAAAAGATTGTTGTAGAGTCTAAAATTTCTCTGTTAGATTTTCAAAGAAGTGTTGCACTTGGATTGCTGGAAACAAGGGGAAAATATTTCTGCAAATTTGATAGTACTTGTAATAATACACTCATATGCTGATTGTATTGGCCGACCATCTTTCTTTCAAAGTTTACCATCAAGCGAAACGAGAAAGGATCCTTCAAATCACATTATGGAGAAAAATTCAACAAACAAAACTAAAAGATGCAGATACTATGATATTCAAACGATAAGTGTTTTTAATAAATGTTATGTGCCTTTGTATAGGAAATGTTTCAAAGGCACATAACATTTACTACAAACAGTTATCGTTTGAATATTATAGTATATGCATCTTTTAGCTTTGTTGGAAATGTTTCAAAGATTTCAAGGGATCCCAAAAGTAATCGTTTTTGACTGTTGTATTTTTGCAACATTTCATATGTATATTTCCTGTTACATTTTTTCTCTTAATTAGACGTCTCTAACACGTAAAAGAATTGTCTTTATTCATTTTCTTCAAGTGAAAGATAGTGCGGTCGTTAATGGATTAATTTCTTTTCTAGTTGCATTCTTGGCAAACCAATCAACTCTCTTGTTTCCATATATCCCCGCTTGCCCACGAACAAATGTAAAAAACACTGATATATCCTTCTGCAGTAAAAAGACTGCTGTAAGATTAACAATAATATTATATGATGAGGTATTTTTAGGGGCTCCGAGGAAGAGGGAGATTCAGTACAGATTATGTAGCTGGAAACAATACTAAGTAATTAGAACCCATTTTATCTAGAAACACAGAAACATGATGTACAATGTATGGTAGTTCATGCATATGTAACAGTACTTGTAATAATATACTTGACAGACTTCTAAAGAAAAGGGAGAAGGAGGCAAAACACTGGAGTCTCCCACTTATCACGTCTTTATCAGTTCTCTACTCTACATTTAGATTGCTTCATTTATGTTGCTTTCTAAATCTTTAATGAAGATTCTTAATTTTGTAAACTCCATAATGAATTCGAAAAGATTCATTAAGTGAATAAGGTAATCCCACTATTATGGCTCACACTCGATCACTATAAAAAAGCCTTGCTTCTATACTCCTTTCATTGTTTTGAATTTTTTCTCGATTGTCGTAATGCAGTATTTGTCTTGCACTTTTCTTTTTCAAACTTTACCAGAAATTTATGCCGTGTTATTTTTATGACAATGTCATCAAACATTTCACCAGAAACATCGCCTATGCTTATATGTTACAAATTAAAGTCATCCTTACTGTTATTCAACGACTCAGTGATCTCGTATATTTCACAAGGTTCAAAGCTGAGTGAAAAAAATACATCGTGTTATAAGGTATTTTCTCCCTCCTTTCTGCATACCTTCGTGGTGTAATGGTAGCACACTCGGCGTCTAATCGAGAGGTCCAGGTTCGAGTCCTCATGTACTCCTGGTTCAAATTAACTTAATGTCTACAGTGGCGCCCGAACTAAAAGGTGGTGGATGATGATTCTTCACCACCAGGATTTGGCGATTGTGTCCCCTAATCCCCAGTCCCCCTTTAATAGGGGTATTTTCTTCCTCCTTTCTGCATGCCTTCGTGGTGTAACGGTAGCACACTCGGCGCGCATTCGAGAAATCCAGGTTCGAATCCCGGCGAGGGCATTGTACATTTATCACATTTTCTGATTCAAAATAACCTAATTACTCTACAGTGTTTCTATGCAAAATAAAGAAAATGTCATTGTTTCTCCGAGAGATGCATTTTTCTACGTAAAGTTAATAGATACTGCTTTTGTTTTGCTAAAATAATTCTTCTCTTCAACAAGACAAATTTTAAATTTGTAATAAACATTTTATATCTACATTTTGCCCAGTTATTTTTCAAAGTGTTTCTTGTATGATGATTTCACTAGGGCAGAGCAAAATATCAACACAAGAACTGGCAAAAATATAAAATTTTTTAGAACATTTCCTTTACAAACATACTATGTACATAGTATTCATGCTAATAAAATTTTTATTTTGAACGAAATTGACATCTAAATTCATTGGCATTGAAAACAAATTATCGGAATTTTAGTAAAGTTATCACTGAAAATTCCTACATAATACAAAGAACATTCAAATAACTGTCTAAAAAAGTAAAACCGTCTGTCGACATTTATTTATCTGTAATTTCTATCGGCTCCTACTTGAAGTAACAACAACCATATTTCAAATTCCTCCTTTCGCAAACTGCTTTTTGAAACATGTTGAAATATACTTCTCTCGGCAATGAACTTTATCTGATAAAATATCTGGTGTCTTCGCATAACTTGACGAATTTTATCTTTTATTTATGAAAAAAATTAAATAGCAAAAAAATAAAAATCATCCATTGACGTAATTCGCAACCGTTATGCTACCAAAAAAATGAAATAGGACCACTCTGCAATTTCGTTGATTATGTTTTATTGCTAAATGAACTGTGGCATTACCACATTAAGAATTTCGAAAATGTTCAATAACGTAAACAAGTTTCTGGAATGATAAGAAAATACTTCGTAACATACTTCCTACTTGACCCTGAATTTATTTATTTGCGAAGTGCATAATTCGATTCAGAGAATAAGTTATCTTGCTGTCATCTTCTGTTCTTCGACGCTGAAACAAAGAATTCTGATAGTGTTTTAACAGGTCATATTTTTTAATAATATGAAGATAAAAAAAGCTTGGTGATAATAAAGTTTTTATCCTTAAAATATTTATTTTTGGTCTAGTGTTTGATGCAGAGATTCCCAAACAAAACAAGATAATAATTAGACTAAGAATATGAATGAAATTTTGAGAAACAATTATACTGATTTGTAGTTGTTCAAAAACTATTAACCCCGTCAGACATGAAGAGAATATCAACTCCTGGTGATGATTTTAAAGACACAGTAAATTTAATTTTAAATCGTATCAGTGACAACAATAATTAAACTCAAGCCTGCTCAGTAATTATACCTGCGTAATACGTCAGCAGCAATAACGCAAAACCAAATAATTACAGCCTTATTAGAGCTAGCAGAAACTAAGGTAACGTGTGCGCGAGAGGCAAGACAGATGCTCCGTTTTGCAGTCCAAAAACCTTAATTTAAATCCTAGCTAACTAATTTGCATTCTGGTGAGGAAACCGAAAGGAGAAGTTATAATGAAGGCTGACGTTATAAATAACTAGTTAATTTCAAATAATAATCTCACAAATGGTTTATTAGATTTATGCTTTATTATTTTTTTTTTAATTTTAGTAATAGAAACAAGTTTTCAAAACCAAAATCACAGGTTCTAATTGCATAAAAGTTTGATTTTAATTAATGTGATAGCTGCGCTTGTTGTACTGATGCAAGTTTTTTCATATTTGGCATAAAACTGCCTAACTAGCTCTTAAATCACCTCGTTCAAAAATTTTTTTTTTTTTTTTTTTTTTGTGTTGTGTGTGTGTGTGTGTGTGTGTATGTGTGTGGTTAATAATATACTTCCACCAGGTAAGAAGAAGGAAAGGTCAATAGCGCTGCTTCGTTAATATATTTCAGATATTTCTTGTAAAGAACTTTTTTAAATTTCAAAACTTTGCTATGTGTTTTGAAAAAGACGAACATTCTCCTTCAATCCAATCAACTCTTATATCATAATATCAAGATCAGAGATTTCGAAATTTCAGTGTATGTTTCCCATGTATTTTACTAATTTGTGTAATTTTTACTTACTGCGTGTTATAGCTTTATATCGGTAATTAATTTTCATAATTATAAGTAATTAATTATCACTTTTATTTTCAAAATTTTTGCAATCAATGGGATCTTGATTATGCCGATCAGTTGCCAGTGCATATTCGACCATCAACTCCCAGTCGACACACTTATCGTCACTGACCGCTTTAAAATGTCATTGACCACCAGGCGGTCAGTGCCGACCTCTTTGGGAACACTTGCTTTAATGTATTATAAAATTCACAACTAAACAAGTCTAACTACCCTTCGGAAATTTAGAAGCGCCGGAGCCGGACTTTCAACCTGAGAAAGGGGTGGTTGGATATATATATGTGTGTGTGTGTGTGTGTGTACAAAATTTCAACTTTTTACGGTTAATCATTTTTGAGTTATGGAGATACAGACGTCACGAAAAAATTCATTTAGAACCAACCCATTTTGGAATAAATAGTCCTCTATTTTGTCCGTACGTGCAGACTTCAAGCAAAATAAGTTGTCCGGATACAATAAGACTATTTTTACAGAATAAAAAATGGATATTTCCTTTGAAATCTGTTAACCAACTTCGATTACAATACTTCGTGCAAGGAAATAAAAAGCAGAGCTAAACTACTTGCTGCTACAAGGTAAATTAGAATGACATGCCGAATTGCATTCATTTACTTTTTTTTTTTTTTTTAAATAGCAGTACAGTAGTGATGTTAAAAAACAGCGATGCTCTTAAATAGATGGTCGTAAAGCATCAAACCTTAATTTGATAAGGACTTATTTTAATTAGTGGTTTTCTTTTTAGTAAGGCGACTACAACAGAAGGAAATAAATGGCAAAACGAATCAGATACAGTGATCATCGGAGGTGGTGCAGTTGGAACAAGCATCGCTTACCATTTAGCAAAACTGGGAAAGAAAGATGTTCTTCTCCTAGAAAAGTCTGAGCTAACTGCTGGATCAACATGGCATGCGGTAAATTTTTAAATATAATAACAATTGGTTATTTTGAGGAATAAATATCTATATGTTTATTTATATATGAAATAGTCTAGTTTAATTCAGATGCTTACGATTAGTTAATAATTAAGTTATAATAATTATGTTGATTTACAATTATTTTCGTTTACATCATGCAAGTTTCGTCTAATCCAAAGTCATGCAGATTTTAGCTACTGAGATCGAAATTTAGATAACTCTGATGCTTAACTGCAATTTACGATTAGCGAAAATTTGCTTCAGTTTTTAGCAGTTTGACGTAACTAATTATTGTCAAATAGTTAATAATTATATGCAATAAAGAAATAATTTGAAACCGAAATAAATGTAATTGTATAATAAGCGACCAAGGTGAAACGTATCAATGTGTCAAATAATACTATGTGCATGGCAAACAATACAACACTTGATGTAGTTCAAGTGTTATTGCACATCAGAAGTATTGTGAATAATGATGATGCACTGTTCAAAAGTTAAAAATTTAAAAATAATGTCCTCTCCAACTTTCAAAGGAAAGGATTCGTACTAATAGCCCCTTAGTGGGGTTAATTCTATAGATAGTTGGTGTGCTGAGGCGCTACTTGTGCGATCTATGATGAAGTTTCGGGCGGCCCAATTACTTATACCTGCCTATCTACCTGCTTAATTATGGTATCTGCTAATTTTTGTCAAATCAGCCACTTTCGGCTGACAGTCTGACAGACTAATTTAATGTCTAACGAACACGTAATTAGACATCAATGCTGGTACATAACTGTTGGAATGATGACTACTATATTATTCCGAGATTAAGAAAATTAACTAATTATTAAAAGTTCCTTCGAAATGATTCGCGAATACTTTTTAACTTATTTTTTTATTTTGAAGTTTATATAGTGAGGCTGTTCTATTTAAGCTTCTTAGCGACTGAATATAACGTCTTCTCCTTTGATAATGAAGGAAAGACAGAAATAAGTTGAGGCATTTAAAGTAATGTCCAACTCTAAAGCTTCAGTTTAAGCTTGTATTTTATCTCTACGAAAAAGCTTAAACTTGTAAAGAGGCCTTAAATTATGCTAATTCAAGGCACATACAGCTGTATTATATGTTTATATATTGTTACGAATTTGGCATTTAAATAGTTAATCTTTTTGCTTTCCAGAAATTGCTAGAACTCTTTTGTGCGACCGATTTAAAAAGCTATAAAAGCCAGAGAGAGAACATCTCATCTCAGTTGTTGTTTGGATAACTGTTATATGCTGATTGTAGCGAATTCGCGGTGAGATTGGATTAGCTTTTTCTGCGCTTTGGTTTGCGTTCTTTTTAATGTTTTAGTGGTTTAAAATATAGCTACTGTTTATATTGCGTGATATTTGTGGTATTGTACGAATATCTCTGAGGAAATAATTCAGCATTTTGTTTTATTTCTTGTGATTAGAATAAATTTTATTAACTTTTTATCCGACATGTGCATTCAGTCTATTACGAACCCGTACGCACGCAACACTTTTTGGTGTCATAAGTGGGATTGAATGCCAATCGCGAGAGCGATGGATGAGCAGTTAAGACAGCTTATGGCAGCCTTTGCTGTATTTAAAGAAGAGATGGAAGCTTCCCAGGAATCCGTCAAAGATGAGGTGGAAGCCGTTCAAGTAAAGATTGAAGCAGGTCAAGAGGAAATAAAAAAAGAAATTACCTGCATAATAGAACACAAATTTGAGGCTATAGAAGGCAGAATAGACGCTGTTGAAAATAAAGTTTGAGAAATTCAAGAACGAGTTTCTTCTGTGAAAGAACAAATAGAAGAGAGAGTGTCTGCTGTGGAGCAACGAATCGAAGGAAGAGTTTCGGCCGTCCAACAGCGAAGCGAACAACAAATTCAAAGCAAAGTTCCTGTCGTCCAAGGACGTATCGAACAATAAATTGATGACAGGGTTTCTGCAGTTGTCAAAGAAGTTGATAATTTGAAGAAATTCGTACCAACGGCAGGCAGCAATTCGAATGGGTTTATTTTTTACCCATGCCTGTTCATCCTTCACTAAAGTTATCCACATATGATGGGAAGACCTCCTGGAAAGTATATAAGACACAATTTTCTATAGTGGGGGGTACGAATAGATGGGATTCCCAAGCTAAGGCCTGCAATCTCGCCGCTTCTTTGAGAGCAGACGCAGAGGATAACCTTCAGACTCTTCCCGGAAACCAAAAGCTAGATTTCAAAGCTCTGTCCGGCGCATTGGAGTTGCGCTTCGGCGAGAAATGTTTAGACTACAGCACGCTTCAATTAAAATCCCGTCAACAGAAACTCACGGAAACACTCCAGGAGCTCGCCACAGATGTTGAAAGGATGTCCCATCTCGCCTTTTCGGTGTGTAAGTAAATAAAAATATAGTATTAGGATGTTTTTATTTAACGACCAATTAAGAAACACAATAACTGACATTCATAATAAAATTGCACACCTTAATTTTAATTAATGATATGAGATTTATCCTAGAAACTTACAATCAGATTTATGTAGCTGTAACTTTCCATGACAATTGTGTGCAGCTGCGGATGCAGTTTAGTAGTGTAAATTATCAGCAGCGATTTCAAATGCTCATCAGTTAATTTGGATCTGTAAATATATATATACATATATTAATATTTCATCTTGAAGTATATTTTTTCACACAGACTCTTTTAAAAATTCCAGCAATTATGAGTTTAAATGTTTTTCTTTAAATACATCGATACGTTGCAAATCAATCATTTCCTCTCGAAGCTGTGGGGCAAAGGTTTCTATGTCGGCGTTTAAAGGATTTTGAAAAATCTTAATGTTTACAACAGCTCAAAAGCTGTAGTTACGAAATCTACCGCAAAAGGAGTCTCAGTTTGCTGACTGAATGTTTGGTATGTATGAAAATGCATGAAACACTTTGTTCAATTGGGACTGAAACAAGACAGTATTTTGCCAAAAGGACTTGATATAAGAATAGACTTAATATCAGGTAGGCATAAGGTGATTTTCTCCATTTAATTTTAAATTACGAACATCAATACGTTTAGTTAAATATGTATAAAATGATAACTTCCTACTACTCATTGTTTTATAACTGAGCCAGAGGGTAAAACCTTTCATTCAAGAAAATTTCGATTACTGCTGGGAGCTCGCAGCTAAGCCAGCGTACTGCGGTGTAATATGATAAGTCATTTTCTCCAATCTCTTTAGTAAACTGGAGGAATTGACGATGATTGAGCTCATGTGACCTGATATGATGAACAGCTGACATGACTGGCTTTAAAAATTCAGATACATCCAGGCATTTTCCGCACAAGGACTGCTGATGAATGATGCGAATGTGCGATAAATGGTTTTGAACCACACGGCCGTCATTTTCTATGGCCTTGGCTATGAGGGCAACGACACGTTTATTTCTTTCACTCATGTTTTTGTTACCACCACTAAGGATCGAGATAGGATGATATTTCGGTAGTTTTTCCCGAAGATGGTTCACACTATCTTGTAGATGTGTGAACCATCATTGTAGTTTTTCCACTAAAGATTTTTTTTCCGAACAGCATTTTCAAGTCCTTTAAAAATATTTTCTTCAGTTGTCGTGTCGTGAACTATGTGAACGTCAAGAAGCTTTTCATACACTTTATAAGTTTTATCTATTCCTCGAATAGAAAATAACACCAATATTTGAAACGTCTTTCAACTCATCCAGGTCCAAAGAGAAGCCACTCTGTGTCGATTTTTGTCAGACGATTGAGTTAATATACGTATTTTTTGCAATATCATCTACTCTTCGAGCCACCGTGTTTGCTCACAAACTGCTGTTTTTAAATAAATTAGCTTTTTCCAGACACATTTCTTCTGCTGTTGCAATCATTGAATTCTTAATTAATTCGCCGTCACGAAATGGTTTCTCATGCTTCGCTACTGAATAAGCCACGCAGAAACTAGCACAAGTTGCTACTTCTTATTCCGCGCTTTCTTTCTCAAACAACAATTGCCGAGATTTCACCCCTCATTTCAAAGATTCATATTTTTCTAACCGTACGCTAAATGTAAATTTGGAGTAATTCTGAGAATGTTAGTTCCTGTATTTATACCGCACGTCTTTGGTGCGTAGAACATATCCGAAAACACTCGAAAGTACTCAAATTTTCCAGGCAAGCGATCATGCAGCAGAAATTTCTCAGAACTTGCTCTACCTCTGCTACTCGCTAGAAAATGGAGCTGTATACTTCGATTAATTAATTAATTTTTCAAGACACATGGAAAAAGTTTTGTCAAAAATCCCGTAAAGAGGCTGTGGCAAATCTTCGGGCATCATGAATGTAGAGCATCTCATGAATGTAGAGCATCTTCTTATATGCCCAGAACTATATAAAAGAGTCTCAGAAACGTGGTAAGATTGTAGAGACGTTAGGATTTTTTTTTGGGGGGGGGAAAGCAGGCAAGATGAAAAATTAGCAACGCCTTCGCCGGGAATCGAACCGCAGACCGGGATAGCGATGAGCGTGCAGACCATTACACCACGAAGGCGGGAAAAATACCTTATAAGATAAGTAAACTATACTGGAATGTCAGAGCTTTCATGAACTCCTTGTAAAGTCTATATCTCTTATGTTCCCTTCCTTGTTTAATTTTTAAACTTTTTACTTTTGTTCCCCTGTTCATTTATTCTGATTCTTACTTTAAATGTTTGGTCTTTTTTATTATTTATCATTGTTCTTGTGCGTGGGCGTTTTCGTGGTTTTCCCCATGTGTAACGTGTATACGAGCCAGTTTCCCTTAGAAAGTCCTCTACGAAGACATCCCTCCCCTTAGGCAGATAGCCCTCGAAGTTTTGCCATAATCACACATACACACACACATTGTTCTTGTGCGATGAGCTGTTTTATATGTTTGGTTTGATATCATTCCAATAAAGCCATGTGTAACAACAACTTCGATTCATCGATGTTTTTGCCTAATTCCTCCGCTCCTTTCAAGGTAGCCTTGTACT